ATAGCAAGTGAGTGGGAGCAACCCTGATTGTGTTCTACCTTTTGACTATAGATTTAAGATGTATTGTAAAATGAGCAAGAATCCTCGGCTCTGTAAAGGTAATACGATCGAGCCTTATCAAATAAATAAATAAACAACTACACAGTAGCCTCAGCCTCTCCGCGCAACAAACTTGTATCTTTCAATAACCTCACAAAACCGTAATTCCAAATCTTTCTCATTCATCTACAAAGTGCATCCGGTATCCGGAACATACGGGTTTGGTCAGTGACAACAAGTCTCCAGAATATTGGCAAAACATTCGAAGAATCGATACAATCACATCAATTCAATGGATTTTGATGTGTCGCATGACCATTTTCATGAGGAACTTTATTGTGGCCACTGGAACCGGTATCCGGAACATCTGGATTAGGTCACATGATGCAAGAAACCATCAATTGTCCTCAGTAAGGTATTGATTTCACTTGTTGATGCATCTAGGTTCCACTTCTTAAAAGATTTACGATTTACGGCATGAGTGACCGGTACTGTGACCAAACCTAACTTCACTCGGAATCGATACCTTGTGGTCAATCGCATCAAAATCGGTTCTTTATATCAAAAACTCAAAATGCAGACTCTGAGAAACAATTTGACTATAAAAACTTATAGCTTTGATTACGAAAACCTTGTCATAATTTAGGTGGAAATCCGAATGAACTTAGAGTTATTTGTTTTTCATTAGGAAAATCGGCTGGAGTAGATAATGTTAATGCTAGAGTTATTCAAGATTGTTTTCATGTCATTGGCCACATCTTGCTGGACCTTATTAATGAATCATTACAAACTGGACATGTGCCACAAATTTGGAAGGAATCCTTAGTGGTCCCTATTCAAAAAGTTGCTGGAACGATTAAAGCCGAAGAGTTTCGTCCCATCAACATGTTGCACACATTAGAGAAAATTCTAGAACTTGTTGTTAAAGGCCAGCTGTTGGAGTATTTAAATAGTAATAGTTTGTTGATACCAGAACAATCGGGATATCGGGAAGGTCATTCTTGTGAAACCGCGTTGAATTTGGTATTAGCGAAGTGGAAAAATAACTTGGAGTGTAAAGATACGATTGTTGCTGTTTTTTGGATCTTAAACGCGCTTTTTAAACAATTTCTAGGCCCTTATTGTTAAGATCAATCAAGCGCTTTGGAATTACGAGTACTGCATATAAATGGTTTGAAAGCTATTTGTCTGACAGAACTCAACGGACTGTTTTTAATGATTCTGTTTCCAGTCCCGTGGGGAATAACCTTGGAGTGCCCCAGGGAAGTGTATTAGGGCCCCTGTTATTTATTATGTATATTAATGACTTGCGACGTGTTTTACGATTTTGCGACATTAATCTTTTTGCAGATGATACTGTGTTATTCATTGCAGCTAAGGATTTAGATGATGCCGTTTAACACTTGAATGAAGATTTGCGTTCTCTAAGTAGATGGTTGAAGTATAAGCAGTTAAAATTGAATACAAGTAAAACTAAATTTATGGTAATTTCGCGGAATCGAGTAAATGAGAACGTCTCTGTTGTAATTGATGATGAGACTATTGATCGCGTTCGGGAGATTAAATATCTTGGCGTGATTATTGATGACACACTTAAGTTCAACTCTCACATTGACAATGTCATCAAGAAAATTTCCAAGAAGTATGGAATTCTATGTCGACTGAAAAACGATTTAACTATTGCCAGTAAAATACAGCTATACAAATCAATCATCTCTCCTCATCTTGACTTTTGCCCTTCCATTTTATTTCTGGCCAATGCAACACAAATATCGAGATTACAGCGCTTGCAGGATAAAATAATGCGTAATGTAATAGATTCACTTCCTCAACTTTGATGCTAGACGCCTTACAATGGTTGTCGGTGAAGCAAAGAATTGTATATTTGACTATGGTGTTCATTTTTAAAGTAGTTAACGGTTTGCTGTCTCGATATTTGTGTGATCGAATTGAAAGAGGAAATGACTTTCATAGATATAATACTAGAAACGCGGTTGAAAGAAGAACACCACATTTCTTGACTTGTGCTTCACAAAATTCATTATATTATAAAGGAATAAATGTTTTCAATTCGATGCCTAGACGTATCAAACGTTTAGCAACACTTACAGAATTTAAAAGACACTGCATTTCACACGTTAAAACTGTCTTTTGAACAGTTATCCAGTGATTTTTTATATGAATTGACAAATTATGTATCTTGACGAAGTTATCTCTAACGGATTATTTTATATGGATAGCTGTCATAACGACTTTTTAATAATTATTGTAGCACTGCAAAAACTATTTCTGTTCGCCACGAGGGTGATGATGGATTTTTAATATTTGATTTTATAGTAGTAGATTAATTAAAAAAAGTTGTCTACAAAGGTTTGCGCCTCGCGCGCGTATCACTGATATAGAGGACTGAATTTAACATTTGATAAAAAAAAAGCAATTTTGAAGCATATTTGGAGGAAGATACCTTGAGTTAGTAGTAAGTTTTCTGGCAAATTTTGGGGGTTCGTGAGCATTCCTGACATTGCTGAAAATTATGATAGCATCAGATTGCGGGGTTGCTAGTGTAATAGGATGCTTTGTTGATGGTTCATTAACTCTTGATTGCTTGTAATACTTATGAATATTTTAGGTGGACAAAAAGGCGAACTAAGAGGTGGACGCCTGAGCTTTTCCACATTTATATGAAGCAACTGTAAACTCTAGAGGAAATTTATATCTGTAACTAAAACCAGTTCGATTTTGTTTGCCAACTTGGTTAAAATGTCATATTCAATTATCTTAAAGATAAATCGTCCAGCTCAAACCTTTGTAAGAGGTGGGACCATCATCATCATCATCATCATCAATATGACCGGTCAGGCCAACATAATATCAACACTTTATTGGTCAGGCCAACGCCGGTGGTGTAGTGGTAAGCGTTACAGCTTTCTCACCCCAATGGGTCTGGGTTCAATCCCAGCCGATGTTGGTGGGATTTTTCTGAGGTATAAAAATCTCTGGTCATGTCTTCCTTCGAAAGGGAAGTAAAACCGTTGGTCCCGGCCCATGTTGTTGAATGAATTCAGGCGTAACATTTGATAACGGTACAAAAGCATTTGTAAACACCCTTTACACGCGAACCAATGTACGCCCACGCAAACCAATGCCACTTTCGAAAAGGTGAGAGTTGCCCCTATCCGATGATGTTGTTGGTTTGCGTGAGCGTACTTCGATTCGCGTGTAAAGGGCCTTAAAAAGTTTGTTTACAAAAGCTTTTGTGCCGTTATCAAATGTCATGCCTGAATTAGTTCGATATCCTACGCAGGTGTGGAAGCTGCCTTCCTGCACATTCGATTGCCGTCAATGGATGGCAATAGATGTACGTCGGTGATTGGCACTAGATTGCGGAACAGGGACAGACGCTTTAAAAAACGCCTTTACCATAAGGTGAAACACTGTGGAAACCGTACATCTGACTACTCTGGATTTAACACCTCGAAGTTTCAAGAGCCCAAATATCAACTCTCACAAAATATACAACAATGAAACTGGAACTCCACTTTGCTGCAACATATTTTGACCCACTTTCTCAAAGTCCTGCGAAACTGTCCTTGACATTCAGGAATTTTTCATACGCCACAAACAAACCGACTATTGTGATCCAGGTCAAATGACCAAAACCAACCAATTTCACATGGCACAGAAAATTCATAAAAACAAACTCCCATTTCGATAGTCGAGCTAAAATCATCAACAACTAACATAACAGTCTCGTATCATATTTTCTTCGCTTCCCACCTAATATTGGCCACTCATGTTCCTAATTACCGTTGGTCATGAACATTTGCTCTACCAGGGCAAAGAATCGAATCTGGTGGGGAGAGAGAGAGCGGTGCACTCGATGAAACCACATTAAGGTAAAAATGACCTGGCGAGTGAATAAAAATTTCAAAAATGGTTTTCTCTGAGACATAACTTTAGACATTAACCTTAAGATCCTCCAACGCAACTCAGGTGGGGCCTCAGATAGCCTAGTGAAGTGAGTTAAGGCACGATATTATCAAACCGGTGGTAGCGGGTTCGATTACCAATCAAGAAAATTCGAATTCCCTAGGCAGAGTTTCAATTGTTAGCCACACAACATTTGTAATTCATGCATTGGCTGTCATAGAAAGATCTCAATCTCAATTAATAACTGTGGAAGTGTTTCAACGAACACTAAGTTTAAAACAAGTACAAGCTCGTACAAGAGTAAGAGCGTAATTCACCACATGCTAGAAAGTTTGTCTTCGGGTGTCCTTCAGAGGTTAGGTAATAAATTTTAAATTCGGCCTACAGTCGGGAAACGGTCGACGTCAGCATCATTATCATCATTAACTACATCCACATAGAGTAGGAATCATCATCATCATCATCATCGTCGTCGATTAAACTCAGCGCGAGGATGGTGGAATTTGATAATATCTTAAGACATTATCCTCGCGTGATGTTCATTAGCAGAATTTGAACAAAACGATTGGACAGCTTGTTGTATATTGTGCTACGTGGCCGTCGAACGCTTCTTTAAATCAATATAATCACCTATAGAATAAATCCACGCAAAGAAAACCGGGAATCCTTCGAGCGTGGTTTTGTTTATCTTTTGTGAACAACAAACGAAGGTCAGCGAAAGCATTATTCTTCGTTGTAACGAATCCCCAAGCTGACTAAGTTAACTGGGCTCGAAAGCACACAGTGGATCAAAACGCGAAAAACGTGCTCACTTGGTGGAAATTTCCAGTTTTTCGCGTTTAAAACCACTGTGAATGGGCGACAACGGCGGCGGGTCGATTATCATTCAATTACTAACTTAATTGGGCTATTAGATATGCTAGGTTCGATAGGAACGAAAATAGTCGCTCAATTAGGATTTACGTAATACTGTGTAACAAGTACTCAATTTCACACTCACGATTGTTCTATTTCTTCCTTCTACTCCACAGGGCAATGCTGTCCGTTGTGATAACGGTGGTGTGTTTTGTGTGCTACTGCTGCCATCGGAACATTAAGAAGCGATCGACTTCAATCTACCGGCAGCAGTGGTTGGAGAACGAAGCTAATATGGAGATCTACAGTGTGGAACAGGTAGGAAAACTGACCGATGACAGATCAAGGGGTTTCGATGGAAAGTCTCCTTCCAACATGGTGTCATCGCTATGTTAGATAGTGAAATAACACCACTTTTCACGTAATTTATTCCTAAAGCGGTGCACAGAAAAAAAAATCATAAAGCAAAGGCGACTTGTTCGCAATAAATCAATGGAGATGCATGGTAGTCTAATCAATCCTTTCGCACAGCCTTTTTTTTCTTGAAGCTGCCGTCAGCAGCGTTGCCAGGTCATTTTCAGAAAAATCTGGACCAGTTAGAACATAAAATCAGGAAAAATCTGGAATGCTTCAAAAAATCCAGTTTTTAACATAATGCTATTGAAATCAAAGTGATGTGCCAATCTCCTGTAAAAATCGATCAGTATGATCATCTGGAATTCATTTAAGGTACTGGAATGGGTATGAATTATCTTTTTAAATAAATTATATAAAGCAAATAACTTATTAGCATTGCTAAAATCATCCAAAAGTGAAAAAGTATTGATACAGTGTGCCCAACAAGTTTAAATATCCATTACGCAGCAATTTCAAAAATTGAGTTAAATGTGGGTACTAAACTTCAGAAAATATTTTTAGCATGGTTTTTTTAAACTGTAACTTTTTTAAAAAGAATGAGAAGCAAACAATCAAGCAAATTTTATGGGATGGATTTTTTAAACTAATAGTCAATGTAGTCTTACTATTTGATACAATACCAAAATTTAAAGATTTTGTTAGTCCTAAATAATTCTAATATTACCCTCAGGTTCATCAGATTTAAAATTTAATTCTTACATCACCAAGTCGACCAGTAGACCATTTTATTTTGAAGTAAAATCCACCTGGCTGAAGTGGGAATCAAAGTCTAACATCATGGTACTTACACACAGTTTACCTAAACTACGGGTAACTCCACTATTCGCATAACCATTACGAATAATTTTATGCCAAAGAATATTTTTACTATATTACTAAAATGAAAGTCTGATAGATTCATTTTGGAAGTCTCAGGATCTTTAAATGATTCTAAATTTCTGAATTTATATTTTTCCTGGCTCTAAGATCATGACATTTTTGGTTAGTCTGAATTCACTTTAAACTCTTCACAGGATATGTTTGCACTTTTTTTTAGTTCCATTGGAATCATCCTAGAATTCCATCATGCTTCTTTTCTATATTCCCCTAAAATAATCTTGATATAATATCCAAACTTTTCCAGCATTACCTCTTGGAATCTCTTTTAAATCACTCTCCAATTTCACAATTCCCTCAAACTGGTAATAATTCCCAAAAATTTGCTCTATTTTGGGTCCATTTTTCTCTATGAAATTCTTAAAATATTCTTAATAAATGTCTTGGTACACTCTTCAGAAAGACCGTCACGCTCTTCTTAGACTCATCCGATAATTCCCTTTGAATTGCTTTGTTGGTAAGGTGAAAATTGTTTTGAAATCCTCTTCAGTATTTCCTAATTATTCAAGTACTTTGCCAAAATGGTTTTGAAAGTTTCCCAGAAATTCCGCATAATTCCGTTAAATGTCTTAAATTTTTATTAAAATTAATCTCCATAGAAATATTGGACAGAATTCCATTGAAATTATTCTCACGATTCGGATCAGCATACTCCTTAAGTTTCATCATAAGAATTTTCTATGATTTCTCTTCCGGATTGTATTTCCTTTATTCACAAAATCTTCATGCAACTGTCATCAGAGTTGACAAGACAACTGACACCGTCTTCAACCAGAGGTTGCACAGACTGAATATTTAACACTAGACAACGGATAACACACCACACCACACCCAGTAGACTAGTAGGGAACTTTTCAGGTAGTCCAAATTTGCACCGGCAAGAGCATGAATCGAACCCTCACTTCGTGGCACTCACAATAACCTGAACGACGGGTGAAGTCGCACAACCACGAAGCCCACAAAGATGGATGGAACTCTACTCAAAATTAGCTTAAAAATCCTCGTTTGATTTCACAAGGAATTCACCTTACACTTCACTGTGAACTATTTTCAGAATTACCTTAAAATTCCAATAATGTCCAACGTTGATGGACTTTTATAATTAAAGTAACAAGTTTGGCTTACTAGTTTTTGATTAAAAGGCAGATCCATTGCAGTGCTATTTCAAAGCAACATGTTTAAAAAATCTGGGAAAATCTGGAACATATTTAAAAAATCTGGAAATATACGTGGTCTGTCTGTGTATCTATTTAAAATTACACAAATGTGCAACTATTGCAATGGTGATTACCTCTCACCCCAGTAGGCCTGGGTTCAATCCCAGTCTGCGCCGCCGGGATGTTCTGAGGCATAACATCTCTGATCATGCCTTTCTTCGGAAGGGAAGTGAAGTCGTTTGTCCCCGGTTCATGAGTTGATGGGCCGATAGGTAGGGTCCAGGTGTGGGAACTGCCTCCCTGGCGTCGGTAACATTGGTGCTCAGCACGGAAAACAAGATCGACGGAAAACAAATCAAGGAAAAAAAAAGTACTTTCCCTAACACAGATTTCAAAATCAGATTTCATCTGCTCTCGCCGAACGTTCCTTATTCAATCACCGTGTGTGGTGGTATCCAGTCGGTTGTCATCAGTAGCAGCAGCAGCAGTGCTTTAGGCGCGTGGCGTTGAACATTATTCTCCAGTATACAACAAAAGGCTGTCCCAAGCAAAGAGCTACAGCCCACATGAGCGTCCATTCACCGAAGAAGGAGGAAGAAGCCGTACCGCTACTGATCGGATTCAGTAGCTCTTCGTGAGTCGTTGTGGGCCATCTATACCAAGCACGTCACCCTCGTTCCAAACAACATACTGCTCACCAGCCTAATCCGTGTTGAACATCTTAAAAGCTCAGCATTACTCAACCATCACGACAAAACGGTCAGGACCACCATAAATTTGTTGAAGAGTATTTTCTGGACATTTGTACATTAATCGGATGTCAGTTCTCAAAAGTTTAAATCTAACACACCATTTTTAAGGCAACATTGGAGGTGCAATTTCAAAAACCAAAGTCTGTCGCAGCATGAAAGTGTTCTGATTTTGATTCAGAGATGATGGATGTTAATTCTTAATACCCCAATCAATAGGAATTTTTTCTACGAATCTGTATAAAAAATAAAGACTTTATCAATTTTCAATCGGTCACCATTGAAAATTGCACGAATGTACAACTGTTGCTATGATAACTAAAATTAACATCGATTGCCTGCGAAAAGCGCTTTCCCTAACACAGATTTAAAAATCGAATTCCATCCGGTCTCGCCGAACGGTGCATATTTAATCACCGCCTGTGGTGAGTGGTGGTGTCCGGTCGTCATCAGCAGCAGCAGTGCTTTCGGCGCGTGTCGTTGTACATTTTTCTCCAGTTCACAACGAAAGACTGCCCTCAAGAGCCCTTTGCAGGTTTGGTAGTATGACTGTTAAATGTTTTATACTGGATGCTATAATAAGGATTGTGATTGCATTTTCGGGATCGCTGGGCTGGGAATGCATGGTAATATTTTGACTGGAATGAATGGTGTTATTCAGAGTGTAATTTTTAGAATATATATGAGACAATGACATCACCAATTATACAATCAGAGGTTATTAAGCTTGATCAAGACAAATTAGATAATTGAATCATTCATTTTGCTGCATGACAGTGCTTTCTGATCTAAATTCAATGGGTTTCAAATTAATCACGAGTCTAATAAATAACGCGAAAAACAATTGAACCGTGATAAAATCGAAACTTTACTGTAATTCCCGGAAATTTTTTGGGAGTCAATTTTCACTCATTTTTTTCCAAAGTCCTGCATCTTGAATGCTTCACTTTTAGGATCATGCATATAGAATAATTAAAACGAAAAAAAGACGAATAACTGATGGCAATTTTGCAGCAAAACGAGCAAATATTTCTTTTGGAAAAGACATACTCTTTTTCACTAATTTATGTATGTTAAGGTTCATGATGTTTCTTCCGTTGAATTCCCGGGATTATGCCGGGTTTCCCAGTTCACTGACCACCACCCAGTGTACGATATCAAACATCATGATAATTCTAATGCCTTGTCCAGAATACAGAGTTATAACATGTTGTTTGCGCCACTAAGCATAAATTCAAATTCAGATTAGGGAATCTCTTCTGTCGGAAACATAATCGAGCAGCTGTAGGCTATTTTTCTTGTTCTTCGATCAAAGGTCGACTCTTCTGCCAAAATATAGCAGTCTTGGGAGACTATAAAACTCCAGTATGTCTCCATACAAATAAGCCATTAGTCACCATTACCATTACGATTACCCCGTTCACATTACATCCTATATCACGTAATATAGGCTGTCTTGCAATGAGCACTCATACATAGGATTTCCAGTGAAAACTAGATGTATGAGTGCTCATTGCTAGACAGCGTATATCACTTTATATACGCTGTAATGTGAACGGGGTGTTAAGTTATCCGTGCTGTAACCGTCGAAATTATAAGTACACTGCAAAAAATAAATTTTGATATCACATCAAACTGGATGCACTTCAATTGTGTCGTAAATATGGTGTAATATTACTTACCAAAAAGGACAAAATTATCATTAATACAGCGCATGAACTGACATTACGCTGCTTTTACTGCATTTTTTATTGTTGTGGCCATAAAAATAACATGAGATTTTCAACAACTGTCGTATTTCAGTTCCTAGCACTGAAAAAAAAACTAGACGTTACCTCTATTTATGCTAAGAGATAAGCATTTAAATTTTTCCTACTTGGAGAATTATACAATCGAACGACTTTCTATGCCTCGCCCCCTCAGCAAAACAATTGGGATTTTATAAACTGTTATATAGCATAATTTTCCAAGTAGAATAGACTTTTATAGCTTATCTAAAAGTATAAATAGAAGTACCGTCTGATAATTTCAGTGCTTGGTACAGAAATGTGTAATCTGTGAAGAGAAATCATTTTTTCACCAATGAAACACCCCGTTTTCTTATGCAAAATAATGGATG